CTGCATCAGTGTCGACCTCGTTCTCCCGCACATACTTCCCGGGATGGTCGATGGACAATGGCGGAAAATGTTCAAGCTCCGCCGCTGTCAAACAATTCCGCTGTCGATAAAAATTGATGAGGAAAGGAGAAAGATGGTTTAGAGTTCCCCCCTTCTCCTCAAACGCGTGCTGTCGCAACACCCTGTGCAGGATGCTCGCCCAGTGAATTGGAGTTCCCTCGATGACGCACTCCACAAACGAGACCTGCCACAATGTGATGTAGCAGGCGCGGTGCGGCTGCAGTAATTGCATCAGCGCCGCGGACAAAGTCCGGCGAAATCGATCCTTGTAATCACGGGTCCTGTACCCATTCTTGGTAGACCTCCCGGTCTTGAACAGCTCCACAAATTGCGCCTCTTCTTGCTTGGTCACCTTGATGCTCTCACTGTCGAAAAGGAGATGCCCTGGCATGCCAGCACATCTTCCCAACGCCTGCGCCCAATCTTGGACTGTCCATCGATCAACATGCGGACGCAATCCGCGCGAGGGTGGTCCCTGTGGCTCTAGCCACTCGCGCACCATATTCGCACAGATGTAATTCCATCCCCATAGCAAGAAATCGAGCTTTCTTGCTATTAAGCGCTCCTCAAAAGCGCGCAGCCCGTTCTGCGGTAGGCGAAGTGGCACCATCCGCAATCTGCTCGGTCTCGTCATTGCGTTCCTGGGGTTCGCTCGCCCGCTCATTCTACTTCCGCACCGCCCGGGTTTCTTTCTCTCTCGGCAAACTCTAATCGCCCTCAATTAACAAGAAATCTCCTGTGCGACGACGTCGAGAATGTTCCGCAGCCAGCAGATGGATGCGCGCAGCGCGCACAAGAGATTGGAATCGCGAATTCAAGAATGGGACGTTCTCCGCCGCCCGGTCGAAGGTCATGGTCGGCTCTTGCTCGTGAAGAACGTCTCACTTGATGGCCGCGCCGGCTGTACGCTGGAACGGTCTTCGCTCTCACGCGCGGCTTCACGCTCCGCCGTCGTCGATTAAACTCTCACGCTCGAATTGGCGGATTTGAACTCCGCGAGCGTATTACCCTGCGGACATAGGGGCGTAGCGCCGAAGGCGAGTTTTCCGCCTTGCGCGGTACACTTGTTCGTACCGCCCCTCGGCCAATCCCCCTCTGCCTTGACGCGTGTGTCCGCATGTCGGACAAAAATTCAACTCCTGCCTGTGCGCAGGCAGGAGCCTCGGCGGATTCTCCGCCGGTGCGGAACTTCATCCTCCTGTGCACAGGCGTTCGCCTGTGCGCAGGCGAATTCCGTGCGCTACGTCGCGCTGGCGCGGAAGGCGTTGACCGTGGTCAGCCGTCTCCGTCCAGTCTGTCCGTTCCTTGTCTCTTCGTCGGCGCTTCCGCCGCCGCAACTCCGTCCGTCCAAGAGCGCATCCACCCTTCCCGTCCGTAGGGTCCGTACCGATTTGATTACTCTGGCGGCTCTTCCGACGTACGCGGCGCCGCGCTGGCGCGGAAGGCGCCGTACACTTTCTACCTCACAAGGCGCATTTCTAGGGCCCAAGGCGGATTTTCCGCCGACGCCGAAGCGCCTGTGCACAGGCGAGCGCCTGTGCGTAGGCGGACTTCGCGCCTCCCCTAACCCTACTTCGCCTGTGCACAGGCGAACGCCTTCGTCCGCGCATAGGACAAAACTTGATTCCCCCTTCCGCGTAGGCGGAATTCGCGCCGGTGGCGAACTCCTTCCGCCGTAGGCGACCGCCTCCGTTTCTTCCAATAGCGATAACTCCCTAAGTCCTCATCCGTTCCAAGCGTTCTTGGGCTCGTTGGAATCAGTGCGTCGAGCTCTTTCCAACGGGATCCTAACTTGGTCAAGGCGCCCGAGGGTTGACCTAATTATGGAGGGTTTCCCTACAGCCGCGGACGCAACCTCCGAAGGCGGGTTTTGCGCCTTGCGCCGTAGAGATCCTAACTGCAGAGCTCGCAGGGAGGGTGGTGCCTGTCCTTACTGCGGCACCCCAAATCCCAGATTCTACAAGATCCCTCGAGAATCCCCGCGATCTTCCGGATTCACTCTGTTTTGATGTACCGAAGGCTATTTACAATGCTGCCAGGGTACAATTTTCCAAAAATGTTTTAATTTCCTCAAAATTGCCAAAAGTGGGGTACCACAAAAAGTTTATCAAGAAGGAGGAGAGATGATTGATGGTTCCTCCCCTCTCCTCAAACGCATGTTGTCGCGTTACTCTATGCAAGATACGCGACCAGTGAACTGGAACTCCGGCCAATGTGAGCTCCACAAAAGACACTTGCCAAGAAGTGATGTACGTTGTTCGGTGCGGCTGCAAGAGTTACAGAAGTGCCATCGCTACGTTTCTGCGGAAGCGATCTCTGTAGTCACGGGTCCTCTACCAGTTCTTGGTGGACTTCTCCCGCTTGAACAATTCCACAAAGGAGGCTTCTTCCGCCTTCGACACCTTGACGCTCTCACTGTCGAATAGGAGGAACCCGTACTCGCCTGCACATCTCCCCAGCACTTGTGCCCAATCGTGGACAGTTCAACGATCTACGTGCGGACGGAATCCGTGTGTAGGTTTGTGTCTCTCCCGTTGCCATTCGCGCACCATGTCCGGGCACACGTAATTCCATCCCCACAGCTGGAAATCGAGTTTCACTGCAATCAGCCGGTCCTAAAAAGCACGCAACCCAATCTGCGGAAGCTTGAGTGGAACCATCCGCAGCTGAGTGGATTTCGACATCGCGTTCTTGAAATCGGATTTCGCAAACTTCTCTCCGCTATGCCCAAGCCTCTTGCCCGCGGCACTGATTCCTCCGCAAATTCTAATCTCTCTCAATTCCTGCGGTCGCGCACTCAGTTCTCTCTCTGCCCCCGGGTGAGTCGCTGCGCGGTGATGTCTGGAATGTCTCTCGGCTAGAAGGTGGACGCGCGCAGCTCGCACAAGGAATTGAAATCGCAAATTCAAGAATGGAGTGTCCGTTCTCCGCTCGCATGATGTCAAGGTCGGCACTTGGTCGTGAATGTCGACTCACTTGATGGCTGCGCCGGCTCGGAGGTGTAACGGCCCTCCTCTCGCACGCGCAGCTTCACGCTCCGCCGTCGAGCTCTCACTCGCACGCTCGAAATGTCAATTTGAACTCCGCCAGTGTACTACGCCGCGGCCATGGTCGCGCAGCGCCGAAGGCGCATTTCTCGCCGACGCGCTACTCGCATTCGTACTTCGACTCGCGTCAATCCTGCTCCGCCGAAGGCGTTCCACTGCACGCTCCGCCAAAGGCGAACTCCTTCCGCCGAAGACGGATTTCCCGGCGGACTTCCCACCGGCGACGAACTCCATCCGCCTGTGCGTAGGCGCTGACCGTCAGCGCCGAAGATGTCCGTCGGCGTAGGTGCATCGCCGTAGGCGTAGCGCCGAAGTCGGCTGTGCCAAAGGCGTTGACTGCGGTCAACAGATTCTGTATCGTTGTCCATCGCTCTTGCCTCTCCGCAGGCGCTCTCCCCTCCGGAGTCCCTGTCCCCTCCGAGGGCGCACCCGTCCGTACGGATTCGCTACTCCGTTGGTACGTACCTAATCTTGATGCGCTGGCGCCGTAGGCGCCGTACGAGCTCCACCTCCGAAGGCGAACTTCTAGGGCCGAAGGCGGATATTCCGCCGATGTCGAAGTGCATATGCGTAGGCGAACTTCTCTCCGCCTATGCGTAGGCGAAATTCTCGGTGGACTTCCCGCCGACGACGAACTCCTTCCGCCTATGCGTAGGTGCTCGTCTTTGCATCTTTCGACCATCACAACTCCATGAGTACTCATCCGTTCCAGGTGTTCTTGGGCTTGTTAGAACGAGCGCGTCAAGCTCTTTCCAACAAGACTCTAACCAAGTCAAGGCGTTGTGAATTGTATAAGATCTGAGGGATTCCCCTAGCGCCAAAGGCATATCGCCGAAGGCGGATTATGCGCCTTGCGCCGAAGGAGAACTCCTTCAGAATCGATTGTTCAGGTCGGGCGCCTGTTCCGGACATTGCACCCAACTCGATGATTCTACGAGACCCGCGATCATCCATTTTCACTCTATTTAAATGTACCGATTACTATTTACACTGCTGCTGCGGTACTGTTTTCCAAAAATGTTTTAAATTCCACACAAGCAAAAAGTGGATTATCACACCGCCCCACGGCGGACCTGCGCCTTCCAAAGCTTGCACCCGCCCTAGCACCCTCAACTACACGGCAGCAGCCCAAGGCCTCCACCCTATGGGTGACCCCCCCAAACTATGGGTGACATCCGGCTCCGGTGACCATTACCTACAGCCGGATTGTTAGATGGATAGACCCCCTCGCATCGTTGACTTCGCAGGGTACACCGCTCAATCTCACCGTTAATTTCAAAATTCCTCCCAGACATACTCTCCTCGAGATACTACGCACCGCAGCTCCATCCGCTCTCTCCCCTACTCTGCATATTACACTTCTCGTACTCTCTCGAAACAAAGATTTCGATCTGTCGCTGCCGCTTTCCATTTCGATTTGAGCCCTGTGATGCTGCCGGCAATCTTCACTCGCTCCGAGTCTATTCTAACTCATTGCGATTGCACCTGCTTTGCAGTCCCAATCTGAGTCCTGTCTATCCTCGCCTCTCCTCTCCGCTTCCCTCCCGTCGGCCTGCCCACACTCCGAGCCTCTCTGTCTGGTGCGCTCCGTCTGTTCTACTCCTCCCTGCCGGCCTTCTACGTCGCTTGCATCAGCGCACGCACACGGAGTATACGCTGCGGCATCTACTTTTCTGCTCTGATGTGATCGGATCCGATCCGATCTGATTTCCGCAGCGCCTGTCTTCTCCTGTCCGGATTCGATTTCTTCATACGTTCAAAATGCACTCTGCTCCGCTCCGCTAAGCTTTGTTGTTTCTTGGGCTGTTACTAAATTCTTCTTCAAAAGATTCAGCTGCTGAGCAAGACTCGAATGATCATCCAGTCCTCGATTCATGACTAACTCTTTATCCTTCAAGATCCAGCTGGTGTGGTTTGAACTTTCTCTACAGGAACTTCGGAAGCTTTACAGGCATCGGATAACAAGTCTTTCCAAAATTCTTTGCTTCCTTTCTCCAGTTCAGGCTTGAGTTCCTCCGCAGGCTCTGGATCCCTTTCTGTATTCGTCGCGACAGAGAATGTATTCGCACCACGTCCCCCGATGAGTCGTTCCTGCGTTCGAGGTTCCAAAATCTCATGAATATTTTGAGCACTAAACTCTGCAGCAGCTGCATCCGAGTCATCCTTCAAGATGTCATAAGCACCATGCTTGAGCAGGCTCTCGATATTCCTATTCATTTCAACGTCTACATCTGCGCCAACTCGATTCCCAAGTATAGCCTCATCTAAGCCTTATTTACGGGACGAGCTTTCGAACAACTGTTGCTAGTACGTATTTCTCGTTATGAGGCGATAGATAGTGACATCTTTTGTCTGATCAATTCTATGGCAACGCGCCATGGCCTGCAAGTCGTTTTGAGGATTCCAGTCTGAGTCGTAAATGGTGCAGGTATCTGCTGCAGTTAAGGTTATGCCTAGACCTCCCGCCTCGTACTCAGTAGAAACACGACAATGTTACTTTTCGTCGCAGAATAGCGATCAATTGCTGCCTGACGGTCAGACCCTCGAATGTTCCCGTCTATCCTCTCATAAGTATAGGCCTTAGACAGAAGATAGTCCTCTAGAAGATCGAGCATCATCGTGAACTTCGAAAATATTAGCACACGCCGGCCCATCCCCTTCAACATTGGCAAAAGTTTATCCACGAGGATCATCTTCCCTGAAGCTTCTTGCAAGGGATTCTGAGTGGAAATGACGTTCTTCCCATCCTTGCCACACATCCTCCTAGATGCACCATGCTTGGATGCATAGTCTTCCTTAAAGCCGTCACATAAGAAGGGATGGTTACAGACTTTCCGCAGCTCCATTGCCACATTTCGAAGACTTGACACATCGCTGCTTGTAGAACCTTTTAACAATGTCCCAACATTGTTCTCATACACAGCACGATAATAAATTCGTTGCTCGCGCGTCAGCTCTACCCACACAATCGTCTCTTCTGTTGAGGAATCCTTTTCTCCACATCTTCTTTCATGTGTCGTAGAAGTCATGGTCTCAAAACGCTATCTTGCAGTTCTTTAACCTGTTCCGCATTCCTTCTCAAGAAATCGCCATAATTCTCAAGAATTTGGTCCTCGGAGGCAAAACTCTCGGAATCAAGCAGGTTCAAAAGGCTAAAGATCTCCTTTACGTTATTTTGAATAGGAGTACCCGTGAGAAGTACAAGACTTCCCGAAAAAAAACTTCAAAGTCCCGCCTAAAACTCGAAGGAGCCAAATCCAGACTACAGATCGATCCTGCGAAATCCGCCACCACCACGCAGTCCTCCTCCACAAAAGCACGAAGGCCTCGAAACCTGCTCTTCCGCCTCTCTCCTAGCAATTGCTTGAATTCATAATCTTGTTAAATTTATGAAAAATCTCTAAGAATTTAAATCCTATTAAAATGACATGCGAGTCCATTTTTGTATTCACAATCATGATTTTCAGTATGATGATAACAATGTATTAATCTTGGAAAAAATCAAACTTTGTTTTTGGAAAAAGAACTGTAACATTTTTTAATAAGATTGAGATTAATATTGCTATAGAGCATGATATGCAATTGTTGAATGGTGAGAAGTGATGAAAACTAGTTGAATTTTGAAAAAATAAGCATTTGATTGATAGTTATAATTAAATATTATGGATTTTACAAAAGAAAAAGTTGTGGATGCAACAATTTTTTAATCTATAGCAAAAAATGCTACATTTGACTAATAGTTGCACTTGTTATAATATTTAGTCTGATAGTGTATCATGTAATTAGAAAATTTATTTATTGGTTTATTGGAAAAATAATAATTTAGAGTAGATGATTACTTGACTTTGGGAATAGAGACAAAGAAAAATTGGTTTATAAATTGGTGATTCATTATTTGGATTAATACATTCATTTATGTGTTTATACTTGGAGTTTGATACAGAAATTGAAAATCTAAATTATAGAAATGTATAACTTAGTTCGATACGGAAGATGTGTATCTAGCGCCAGCGGAAATAATGAAGAAGATGATTTGGTTTGGCTTGTATCGGAGATGAGATTAATGCAGATATTGTGAATCGTCATGCATGAAATGATTTGTGACTTTTAAAGAATTTTACATTTAATTGTGAATTAGAGATGAACATTTATGTAAAACACATTTTCTAAAACATTTATCTGATTGCATCTTACAGTTACTCATAAATAACAATAAACCCCATACTGCTCACAGTTTTACCAAAGTGATATATTTATAAAGTTTTTGAAGATATCATGTCCCATTGCAAGTTTAATACATTTTTACAAGTAAAGTCAATCAACAAGTATGATATATTTGTATAAGATTTTCGATATGATAAAGTTTTAATCAATTATAATTTACAGATGTACTTAGAATAGATTTTATTTTAAAATCTTACCCACAGTTATGATATCAGCTATAGCTTTAAGAATTTCCAGACATAAATATATGTGAGATTGTACGAGCCAGATTTTGCTAATTAAAAAATAATCACTTTGTCCAATTTACTGGCCATTCTATAGAGAGTTAATATTTAATAATATTTACACACACTTCAAGGTTTTTAATAATGTATTTGCGATATCGTGGACATCTTTTTCCTACCGTGTATCATATATATGTATATGTATGTTTACATATACATATATATAAGTGGGATGAAAATTTTCTTAACGGTTAAACAAGTTAAATATCATTTTTTCATTCAAATGAAAATGATTGTACTAAGATAAAATTTTTATGAAAACGCATCTAAGTAAAATTTAAAAAATTCATGCAACTATTATTGTTGTTAAATTAAATATCACGTTTATCATTTCAATAAATTTGTACACAAAAATCACAATGGAATCAGGATTGAAAGATATTTTTGATCATTCATACAGTAGATTCATCGTAGTTATAAACTCACACTAAGAATCAACAGACCTTGAAATTCTCTGTACCATCTGAGCGAAGTCGATAGCCTGAAGGCAAGGCAGCATTGAATGACATCGGAAATATGCATCGAGGCGTCGTCACGAAGAGTCCATCATTATCATGAAAAGTTCATAGGTACAAAAAGTCAATTGGCCTTTGACACCGACACATTCTCTCATTACATAGATTGACTCGGCGACTAAAGTCTTTTATATCCGAACTATAAGTTCAGGTTTCGAAAGTGGCACACAACCATTTCTGCGAAGAGAAAATCTTTTATTTTCTGCCTACATCTTTGAACATTTGAGTTCGAGATCAGGACCGGTCAATGATTTTCCGATGATTGAGCCAAATGCTTAAGCTATTGCAATTACGATGGAGAAAGCCATGTAGGCAAATCACCCTACTTTTTCGTCTCGGTTGTGATAGAGACACTATGTGCGTAAGCTCAAGGCTGTAACGCAACTACATCCATGGTTTTCTAGGTTTAAAAGGTACATTTACAAAGAAAAGCTGTTTCTCATCACTTGAGTTGCATTTCTGGATGGTTGGTCTCACCCTGGCCTCTTTGACTGCTGAAAAACAATAATCTCTGTCTGGGCCAAGTCCGTCGAAAGCATACGGTTTGATTTGCACAATGTAGCCATTTTTGTTTTTGGGAGCACAACCTGGAGCCCTTTTAACAAAATGATACTCGAACTCTATGAAGCCTGAACCCCATGCGCAGAAATCTAAAGTGACACCATCTCCAGCGTCTTGATCATAATCCACGTACACACACGTGGGATAGTACTCGTCCGGATAATCCACGTTGGTGAAGTTCTGTGATATCACGTAGCGAGGAGGCTTATCTGCCAATAGCACGAGCCCAAATGAGGAAGAAAAGAAAGAAAGCCAGCTGAAAGAATCATGACATTGAATTATCTATGCCATTATCTATTAGATCTGATGTGATACAGATCATTACCACTCTGACCGATTTATGACATAATTCTGAAAGCAGGCTTGCTAAAGAGTTAACACGTTAAAAGTAGAGCTGATAGATATGAATGTGCAAACACTGCACCCAACGACATAGGTGAGGTATATGTTGGTCTAAATTTTCAAATGTGCATATGAGAGGAGCAATTATCTTGCATGAACGAAGAGCAACGCTTCAGGTGCTGGACATGTTTCTGAAGAAGATAGGCTAAGCTCTTACCTGTTCCCTCCACGAGACTCTGGTTCCAAGTGTAATGCCAATCGTTTGAGTCAACAGTCTCTACAAACATCTGAAATATCGTAGATGCATATCGATGTTACATTTCAAAGACTGAGAAAACTACTGTCAAACAGGGGGAAGTAAGCATGTGTCACAAGCACAGAATCTCGATCAGAAGACAAGAGGTACTAACAGACTTACAATGTAGACCTCAAGAGCAGAACATACTCCTGGACCAGCATAGAGTATTCAGTTGAAACCTCAAGCTCAAGCCTGCATATTATTGTATTTCTGCCAAGGATCTACATTAATGCATTCCAAGGTTGATGTGCAGAAACATGCAGAGGGATGTGGCTCAAGAAGCAAATAAGGGTATTTTACATGAAGGTTTCCGTCACCGGTGAGAACGAGAGGCCGATTTGGTCCTAAGAGAAGAAGTTTGCCAGAATGGCAGTCGCAGGTAGCGTTCTGGTATGTCACTATGTAGCTCCTGGAATGGATCACAATTGGCTCTGCATTTGCGCTCGGCATGCCTGTCACAATTTGTTTTTTTTCAGTTAAGAACGAAGATGAGCATTACACAATACACTAGCAACCAACATGATTTGCAGAGTCAGCTGTGCACCAAACACACTTCGGCTTTCAACTTTAGGATGTGCGGCAGAGATAACTTGCCTGAATGTAGAATAGAAATTCCCAGCACATACGCCATGGCCAGAAGTGGAGACCATTTGATGCTTGACAGATCCATGGCTAAGGTACTGAGGTCAGACTTGCATGTGCTGGCTAAGAGGACTTGCAGTTCAGAATGATCGATGGAGTATACTGCTGGAGTCAGAAAAGCAAGCCCATTCTTCCCAAAAGGACTACGGTACGGTTGTGTCAGAGATGGATGTGTGATAAAAGGGCTCTCGCAGCTCTCTTTTATACCTCGGTTTTGGCGATTGAGGGGTCGAAGGTGTTTTTGTGTGACTGAGCAAACTTGGATATCGTTCATCAAGGCGTTCATTCTCGTGAGCAGACACGCACAATACGCTAGAGCACTTGGGATTCACTGTAATATAAAATGTCTAATTCACATGTCTTTCGGCACCAGCTGCAGATGTCAGTAGGCAATGTGCTGATAAACTAAGGGTTCATGACATTGTGTGTTTCTTGCCTTTGAGCAATGGAATGCATGCGTGACCAGCTGGTGATTTTCATCCCTTTGACTTTCAAAGCTATGCTTGCATGGCTCTGAAAGTCAGGGGATAATATACAGTACAAATTATTATTGATCATATCTAAGCACCTGGAAATCGGAGTGTGGCTAACATGGACTGCACTGTTTTGAATAAGAAAATAATCTGACGAGAGAATGAGGTCCAGGATTCAGTTCATCGTGTTGTTGCTGCGTGCTCAAGTTAAGAAAGACTTAGCTCTACAAGATTGAAGACTCACGGACGTGAGATCATCATATTTCTAGTCAACATGTACGTATCCAATAAATGGTTTGACATTAAACGATTTTGCATCATAATTAATACCAAAATCTACCCCATGTTTGATATTACTAAGAATACACTTTATTGTTTTTTTATTGTATATATCCTTCATTTGACACATATATGCTAATTGTTCCATAAGCAAGAACAACGTTGTGTCTACGCCAAATCATCAAATAATGAGTCTTTTCACTGAGTTTTTTTAGTTTCACGTAAGAACATTGGAACATCAAATATTTTTTCACGTCATCTGTTGGTCAACGAATTTATGAAAGTTTGAAATGAAAAGTTATATTAGCTATCACATCCTTACCATCATTGATGTTGGATCTTGCAAGTAAATTTCTGACAGATTTGCTGTAAGTCAAGTTCAGTTTTTTATCCTTCAATATTCTTCAGATTTTCATCCCTAAAATCAAAACTCTACAACAAATTTTTTGATTCCAAACTAAGTTTTCAAGGAAGTTTGAGCTTATTAACATATAATCTATTTCTAGCTCCAATAAGCATGGCATTTGTATAATATACTAGAATGATGAAGCCAAACATTTCAAATTTCACCTATTTAATCTACACACAAGTATCAAACATAGTTTTTCTTGGATCCTTGTTATCTCATGTAATCATAAAATTTCTTACTTTATCTATTATGGGGTTGTTTTACTTCATGACAAGATTTAGAAATTTGTAAATCATATCTGTTTGATATTTTTCACAAAGTTCATAGGCTATTTTAGGCTTGATAGGGCTAAAAGTGCAAAGTAAGAATGAAGATATCTTCATGAGATAAATTGATATTAATTATCATATATAATAGCAATAACATCATCGGGTTGATTGTAAATGAAACAAAAAAAAGTCACAACTACACACAATAAGTAAATAACAACATACAAAGCAAGTAATATATATCTCTCATTGTCAACCACATCTCACTCTATACTATGTGAATACATTGGTCATCAACCTATCCTTCTATATCTTTTAAACTTAGTAATTGCAATTATATTTTAATTTATGAACCCCTTTGGTTTTTTACTATTGCATTAACACTCAATTCTTGTTGTAAATCAATATTGCATATTTCTTTGCATTGTTGCTATCTCCTGAATTAAATCCAACAAGTCTTCAGATTCATCACATGAAAAAAAGTTCAACTTCTTCTTTCAAGATCAAAGTTATATCATAATCATTAGATTAGATATCATCATATCCTGATTAGATAAATTCAATTCACTTGCCAAATTGTTCAAGATCACAAATAAAGCATCTAAATATCTTCCTTGTTGATGATTTTAGTTAATTTTGATATATTGGTTTGTGTCAAAATTCTAAGTGAGCAAGTTTTAAAACTCACATGAAAATCAGTATGGTTAATACATCATTCTATAACATTTAGAGGGTTCTTTTTTTTCTGTAAGTATGATTAGCTTGATCCTTTTACTCCAAGTTTGATTTTCATAACTCATTGAACATAACGTGTTCTTCAAATCAATATACAAATAATTGATTTCCCAAAAATATGACCTTTTACATCATTTTGATATCCAGTAAATAAAATATTTCTGATACTTAAAACAACCTAAATTTATATTTTTGGTTATGCAATATAGTTGAAAAGTATAAATATTTTTTTTTTGTCATCCATACATAGTTCAATTTAAACTGTGTCATGTGATTAATATCACAAGAAGGAATTATTCTTATCAAATGGGTTGTTGATTTCACACATTTGTTCAAAAAAATTGTGATAAATTTCATTGACTTGAATTTTTTCATTTCAATGATGTTTAATTTAGCCGCTTAGCAATTTTTTTTTTTGCGAATTTATGTTGCAATGAGATGACAAATTGTAATTTCATCTTGACACTGAACCTCAATTTTTTCAAGTATTCCTCAACATTTCTTTTCAAAAATTCTTACTTTTTCGCCCGTCCAAGACTAAACTAAAGCTTTTCACTTCTTGAAATTGGTAAATTCCTTAAATATTTGATTTAGAAAATAAATCCAAACACATTTTAAATAATCATCAATGAAAAATACGAAGTACAATTTTACAGACGGAGGGAATTGATTGCACACATCACTTTCATATGTATTGAAGAAGCTCTTTGTAACGATGATTCTCAGCTTCAAAAAATGTTGAAATTCGATGCTGCTTATGCGAGGTTTATCATAAATGAGGAAGAGTTTCCTATCAAAAAATTACCATATCAATTTGAGTGTTTTATTACTTAAAGATAATCTTTTCAACTAGTCTAGTCTAATCTAATCTAATCAACTTCAATTTGTTTAGTGGAGAAACACAATCATGTGATTATAGATGGAGTAGATGGACTTCAAGTTATAATGATTGTCAAATGATATAAGGACAAATACTTGATAGATAACTTGGACTTGCATATCACCTTATCATTAAAAAATGGAGTTATGAAACATCGTGGACATTCATTTTTTTGACACAATCTAGAATGCATTAACTATAGAAATCTTGGTATCGCTATGACTGCATAAATAACGCAAGATACATAAGATCATTCACTACTTATGTTACTCTTGACCAGAGTAGCCAAGAAGAAAAGGAACATTGTGCTCTCTTTGAGGTTGTGGTCAGACGTGAAGCATAACTTTGCAACCTGGAAGGTGGAATGGCAAAGTTCTTGAGGACCATGCTCCTCTCTGACTCTGATCGCTCCATCTCTCTCCATCTGTCAGAACGACAACTCGTCTAGCAGCGGACGCTTTCAGACGAATCGTTCTCGATTTCCAGATCACTGTGGCCATCTCGGTAGTCGCCATGAATCTTGATCGCGGCACTGAATTTGTTGGTCGTCATACTTCTGACCCCGACGAACGTGAAGGGCTGGGCTGAGTGCTCCTTTTGGAGCCCGCATGTAGCTCCACGAGAAAGGGGCGACGAGATCAGTACCAGCGAGCAACCAGGAAGCCTCCTCGCTCATGGATGACGTTGGCTGTCACTCTAGATCCTCTGCGGCCTTAAGTGAAGCTTTACGCTGCTCTTGCTTTTACTGCAAACTCGTTCTTTTGAGATGGTGGTGCTCGGTGTTTCTTTCGTTCTGTGACATAGCGAATGATCGTGACGTCCGTGACGTCATACCCTTATGAACTCTGTACGATGTGCCATTCATCTCACTCTATCGAAGAGTTACCTATGCCAGCATCTAAGAACCTGACACTGGCAGTATCAGCTTCGTAGGAGGACAGACCGTCTGACGGTGCAGTATCATACTGCACCGTCAGACGGTTTGTCCTCCTACGACTTGCACACAGTTGCCTGTTTTTGCTCTTATAGTCACCTGGTTAGCTAGAATCGGGCTCGATATCCATCTAGAAGGACTTCCTTAAAAAACTAGCTCAGCCGAGTATTCAAAGCTCAGATCACGAAGAGCTTCATAAAGAAACGAGCTATTCGTCAAGAAGGCTGAATGAGATTACCGAAACTGGAGTTCAAGAACAACCGTGCACGACCTATTCGTTACGTAGGCCGATATTTATTCAAAAACGACCAATTTCAACCTCACATTTTTTCTGAGAATTGATTTCCTCAATATTGTCCATTTCAAAGACAGCAAGGAGAAAGAAATTCGACATCCTAGTGATGAGATGTATGAGAGTATTCGACGAGGAGATAGGGGATGAGGAGACAGGTGATAAGAACTCGCATTCAGACCTGCCACCATGAATTTTGAAGTGGGCGAAAACCTCACCCGTTAGGAACTCTGTACAGCAGGGTGGTAAGCTTGATCTCATCCACATCAGATGTTTGAATATTGACAGTGATTTCGGATCCATGCAATTTACCAAACGTCTGTCACATTTCTCCGCAAGAAAACTTGGTCTCTTGAAAGCTCGTCCTCGTTGACCTCAGATTGCGGGGCCTTTGTCTGCGTATCTGAAACTAGGAATGAAGTTTTCACATATCTGTACCCGTTCCGTGTCCCATCCTCTCATCTAATTACAGGTTCTCGTTTACTTTTCTGAGGTGAAACCGTGAAGTTTCGCCAATGGATTTATTCTGCATAAGTTTTTCTGCCAGTTTAGTAATTTACACTCATGCCGCCGATGGCGAAGCAGTCACGAGAGAAAAATATAGTGTACAAATTTCTGACAAGGTTCCACAATCAAATATGTACTAACTGGAACACATGGCTCACTAGAAATACAGGCTAATCTGAGCGGGGGGCTGGCTGTACAGAAGAAGTTCTATCGTGCTGCTGGCCGTTGAGAGTATGATCGATTGAGCGAGTCGACCAGGTGCTAAAACTGGACTTTGTGTTAGGACTGTCCAAAGAGATCTCGTCAAAATCAGCTTGAGGTGTCGCGGTGTCCGAGAACAGATTGTAGTCACTCCGCTTCATGCTGAAAGCGAACGTCGGGAGGGGCTTAGTGAGGGGGAGCATGGGCAGAGGGACCTCGCCCTTCAAAATGGCCAGGCTTTGCCTCATGGTCGGCCTCGAGTCCGCGTCGGGATGCGAACACAGAAGCCCCACTTGCAGAACGATGGTCATCTCGTCAATGTCGAACGCTTGCTCCAGCCGGCTATCGGCTGCTTCCAAAATTCGATCATCCCGGTACAGGGTCCACACCCAGTCGACCAAACTCTGGGATTTGTCGGGAGTGCTCGAGGCTTGCAATCCCGTGGCGATCTCCAGAGCCAAGGCTCCGAAGCTGTAGACATCGGTTTTCTCCGTGGCTTTGCCGTTGTTGAAGAGCTCGGGCGCCATGTAGCCCACGGTTCCGGCGATGTGCAAGGTGCTGTTGGGCGCCTGGCTGTGATCGTACAGACGAGCGAGCCCGAAATCGCCGAGCCGAGCGTTGAACTCCGCATCCAGCATCACGTTGCTGGCCTTCACGTCGCGATGCACCACTCGCTGCTCCCACTCCTCGTGCAGGAACGCCAGCGCCGCCCCGACGCCGCTCAGAATTTTCACCCGCCTGCTCCACGACAGCACTTCAGCCGCCGGATCCATGTTCCGGTCGAACAGCAAATTGTCCAGGCTGCCATTGGGCATGAGCTCGTACACCAGCAGCAGCTCGCCGCGCTCGTGGCACCAGCCCAGCAGCGGCACCAGGTTCCGGTGCCGCACGCGCCCGATCACCTTCACCTCGGCCACGAACTCCTGCGCGCCCTGCGTCGAGGTCTTGCTGATGCGCTTGACGGCCATCTCCTCGCCGGTCTTGGACAGCGCGCCCTTGTAAACCTTGCCGAAGCCGCCGCGCCCCAGCAGCTGCTTCTCGCTGAACGCCTTGGTCGCGTTGCTGAGCTCCTTGTAGCTGAAAATCTGCGGCCCTCGGACGCAGTCCAGAACGCCGAACTCGGCCACCTGGAACGACGTCGCGCGCGGCTTGTACTTCCGGACGTAGACCGCGGCGCCCAGGAGCGCGACCAGAAGCACCAGCCCCGCGCCGCCCGCGACTCCGATCGCGATCGGTAGCACGTTCGTCTTCGGCGGCGCGAGGTTCGAAATCCACACGTTGCCGAAGATGTTCTCCGGCGCCGAGCCGTTGCTGCTGAAACTCCACTCGTAGACCGAGTGCTGCGACATGTGCACCTTCTCGGTGGTGTTGTCGTTGCCCGTCGACGCCGTGAATCCCACGTACATCTCGTCGCGCAGGACGGGCGACAGATCGAGCGCGCACGTCAGCATGGGAACCATGGGCCGCGCCTTCGAGGGGCTGACGGTCACGGAGATCAGTTTCGCCCCCGCGTCGTAATCGATCCAGGCGTAGATCCAGACCTCGTCGTCGGACGTCAGGCTGAACTGCCGGAACTCGCCTGCGTCCCAGTACCCCGACTGCTGGGTGCACCGCGAGACGAGGCTGTCGACATTGACTCCTACGTGGTAGCGCGCGGGGTCCTGGAACTCGGCGTTCTGAACCGTGTCGAACTCGACGGCGAAGTTGCCCAGCGCCTGGCCCTGCGTCGTGCCGTTGAGCCATCCCAGGAAGCTGCCCGCGCTGCCGGTCGACGAGTTGTCCGGCGACATGATGAAGGCGAACCCTTCGCCGGGATCGTACGCGCTGTTCGACTGGATCCAGAAGCTGAACATGGTGCTCCACGACAGGGCGCCATGCGTCGCGGGGTCCCGGACCTGCACCGGAAGCACGGCCAGGCCGCGCCCGGACGCGTCTGCGTTCACGATCTGCCCCGTCGGAATGGGCTGCGTCAGGCACAGCGCCGTGCCCCCGGCCGTGAATCCTGACGCCGGCGCGAACACATTGATGCTCTGGTTGGAGAACGGGACCTCGACGGCCGAATGCGCCGAGTACCAGAAATTCGAGGTCTGAGAGCTGGTCTGTTGCGCCCGCGTGCACCCGAGCAGAAGGCAAACGGCGATGTAGACGACGAGGACCCTGTGTCTCGGTCCACCCATCACCATGAGCGTGCTCTGATTTCTCCGCCGCCCCCCTCAAGCGCCGTAGATCCGCTTCTAATCCCGTTAGCTCCCTCGCCGGACGCTGGACGACGAGCCTGATGTCGATAACTCTGAACGCGTGTTGTCAAGTAAAAATCTGGAATCATCAACCGTCTTTTTAATCATCGGGTCTCGAACCCGAAATCAGATCGAGAATTAGAAATCTGTCAGTCTCGACGATGTTCGATCGAGACTGCGAGCCTGAAAGAAGGAATATCTAACAGAAGCTATGTATAAAATCAACGCAAAGATTGGTTTTTTTCGTGCCCAAATGCGGACTCTGTCTAAGTGGCCGCCTAGGCAGTTCAGCTCGCGGTGAAGAGCGCCAGGAGACTTGGGAAGACAGGGCAGTGGTGCATCCGGGAGGCTGACACTCCCGAGTCCATGTTGTGTATGCAAGACGACTGCCCGAATTCGGCGAGATGTCTAGCGGGGTTCAGCCGAATCGAATGGGCAAGGCTCGAGGATCGGAGCAACGATGTGGGGTGTTGGGACCTGGAATGGCCTCCCAGAAATTCTGCACAGTTCGATCACAGCTCTCACGCATCTGGCACCCCGAGCCCCGAGGACTGCGATCATATACGCTCGGTCCAGCAGAACGACCAAGGGTCACAGGAGGTGACGAGAGGCGAAGGCGCTGAAATCACCTGGAAGTCAACTGCGGCGGGGCCTAAGGCTTGTCCTCAGCTCCCAGATCTCGATCCACGCCACCGTGTCACCGAGAAGTGCACTTTTCAGCAGGACCCATTCTTCAGTCCAGTTACTGTCCTCGCTCTTGCCCCGCCTAACGTGGCACCGGGAAGTGAAGTGCAGTCATCGATCCAGATGTTGATGTGGAATTGCTGGGACTTACATCTCGTCAAGTGGAGTGCGGATGGATCACATTCATTATATTACGACTGATCCATCTTGCTCTCGTAATCGATCCACACGGTTACTTTAATTTCAGTCTGCCGATAAAGTGGAAATGACTTTCAGCACCTCTGAAAGTCGTCCCAAAACAGTTCAGACTTTAGGATCATAAATCGAAGATGCTTGGATCTTCGGTTCATGCGGGAAATAGTAACGTCTCCCTTGGCTTTCCATATCTATTTGGATACTTGGATCGTTGCTGCATACTTGCTGAAAAATTTGCTGACAACAACTTCGAAAATTGCTTTATTTTGTGGATAGGGTGTACACGTACTAACACTCTATCATGACATTTGGTAACAAGCTCCTTCTGTGCAATGAAAATGCTCGCCCACCGAATGAACACTATGCAGGGACTCAATAGCATTGATGATATATTAACTTTTACTGGACATGCTGTTGTCCAACCTATGGTCAGAGAGTTGACAATGTCCAAGTTGACAAGGACGCAAAGAGTGTGAGAACTCAAATAGACGAGCAAATTACTTGATGGGACCACTTGTAAACTCAATGCTCTTGAAGGTACCCAACAGTTTTCATTTTACACCATGGGACCCATTTCACGGCCGCGGTAAGCCATGTTCTTATAACCTACTGTTTGCTCTATAGAGTGGGGAGTGCCTGCCACTGTGGGGCCAGAGTATTCTGGCCCCACAGTGGAAAACGAGGGGCACTATATGGTCTTGCCGTGATTTCATGTTCTACTCGAAATAACCCCAGATAGTATTGGAACATCACTGACGGTGGGGCTGCAGTGACGTCGATGGGGTTCTTCTCAAATAGACACACAGCTACGCAGCACTCATAATACATTAGTTACTTGTTTACCCTATATATATATATATATATATATGCGTGCTTAAATCTTCCTTCTTGGGATGGTATTTTCCTCCATGGGCCTCCCAATTCATTGTACAGTAGATAATTGGATTACACAGTTTATCGTATCCTTGGTTTGATTGCTGATTATCAGGAGACTCTTTCACTCAACATTGAAACTTCATTTTGTAGGAGAATTATGCTGTTACTTAAAGAATATGCATCTTTAGTTTTAATAAGACTAGTTTCACCAAATCTAGCGCAAGATCCTTTTCCCAAAGGTTTTGATTTGTTTGCCTCTATTCGAAGAAGCTCTTAGTTACTTTGTGTGGTCATTTAATATTCTCTCCCTCCGAAGACACCTATAGATGTATTCTTCTTCCCCTTCTTATTGTCAGATAGTTGCTAAGGGCTCGGAATATTACATCGATAAAGGAGACTGGCATATTTTTTTGTGACTCGTTCCAGAATATCTAACTTGAACGCATCTCGAACACTTGGCCCAAGATCCATGTCGCAGCGTTGCAGTTAGATACATTTAAAACATTAAATTTATGTGAAAGTTCCAGTCTTATCCGAATCTGCATACGCCATCTCAGAGCTTGAAGGAATGCTATGCGCCGCATGTTGTATCCCTTTCCCAAAACAATGACTACGTCTAGCTGTCGTGGTATATATTATAGGAGATTGGCAAGTCTCCTTAAGCCTTATTCCAATATAATCTAACTTGAACGGTTTGAAAACACTAGCGCGATATCAATGTCGTAATGTTGGAGTTAAATACATGGCAGATCTCTTTTTAATTTATCTGAAATTCATACTTATCTGGATCTGCATAATTACCGGGTACTCCATCGCAGGGCTTCAATGAGTGCTATGCGCCACACACTAAATCTATGTCCCAGCATCCTTCGGGGACATACGATAAAATTGGAGCGATACAGAGAAGATTAGGATGGCCCTGCGCAAGGAGGACAGGCACAAATCGAAAAATGGTCAAAATAAAAAAAATAAAAAAATGTAAGATACGTCTTGCTTTGGTGACATATATTTGAGGCGCACTATAAATATGCTAACCATCGTGGCTGAAATGGCTTACACTCTTTTGGCAGGGGACCTTTGTTACATTATTAAACCAACCTCTGGCAAGGTTCCATCTCGCCCTCTCAAGCTAATTTGTAGCTCATTTTCCCTGCAAAGCTTTAGACTTGGAGCAAATTTAGTGCAGATGCTGCGATAGAGTTGAGATGGTTCCAGTATTGGTGATTTTAATCTTTCTCCAAAGATCAGCAGGATTGACATTCACTGACCTGCAGTCATACGAACATACAGACATTCCTATCGTGATTATCTCTAATAATGTGCATAACAGATCCCATCTTCATGGCACGCAGCAAAACAAGCGATGGGACAGACGCTCCGGTTGGACTGGTCGAAAATGTTGCTCTTGTCTATGTTACCGAGGAGAATGTGTTTCCTGGAAGATACCGTCCTGGTATAGCGTTAAATGGTGCAGTCGCTGCAGCGAGTGACGAGTCATCTTGGGGGAGCAACAGATTTGTAGGCAACGTGCAATGATCTCGAGTGCCGAGTCTTTGAGTGCCAGCTCGATTTTGAAGGAAGCAGCTGTGCGTGTTCTATGAAGCTGCGCAGATCCATCACTGGATCTTGGCACGAGTTTGCTTTCCATCAAGTATTAGATATCATGGGATCAAAATAGCCCGAAGTGGCAGGCATCAGGTGCCCGACTGGATCATGTAGAATTTGTCATGCACGCACGACCCTCATCAAAGCTTACGACCTTGTCAATGGCGGTCAGCCCTGCCCCAGTGGTCTTCCAATTCGTACAATAGCTTTTCCATTTCTTTGTTTCTTGTTTCGAAAATTTCCCAGAACCTCATCGTTGTGTAGCTTTTGGGGTCTACGTGCATAGAGTCCGTAGCTGAATGTTCCGACGATCGACTCACTGCTTCCCACAGGTCCTCAATTCGGAATTCCCTGTTTGTGATGGGCCCATCGCTGGTTCATCCGAAGATCGACTCACTGCTTCACACAGGTCCTAAATTCGGGGTCCCTGTTTGTGATGGGCCCATCGCTGGTTCATCCGAAGCCAGGGCTAAAGCGCATAGAAAGCGCACAAGGTCTCAGGCCGAAGCGTGCAACGAAATCGATGCCACGGTTAAAAGGAAATGACAGTCTAAAACGTGATTTTGGGTCAATCTGGCACTACGATCCTGGTTCAGGTCGTCTCTCGACAGAGCGTTTCTTAGGTCGGAATGAGGTTGTGTTCGCTGGTGATGGTCGCTATACATCTAGACCGGTGTGTACTTTTGATGACTGAAGAGTACGCAGGCTCCAAAGAGCCTCGTGGAAGTTCGTCTTGGATGTTCAGAGTGAAAAGTGAATCACGAAAGGAGCCTTCCTTTTACAAATGCCTGCACTGCACTGGTGGGAAAATGTGCTGAAGCACGCTATGAAGCCCCGCCAAATGTGAGACCCACACCATATGTTCATTTCTGGAATGTCAGGTCTCCTGAGCGCCTTAGTCAGCAGGTCTCGTGGATTTTGTAGCCTTAGTCCATGGCTAACGACAAAGTCGCTGGTGACTTTTGTTCCTACACAAACCTCCGTTGCGAGGGTTTCGAGATTTCGCGATTTCGCAGCAGGCACATGGCTCCTTGAATGTGACAGAAAGAGACAACAGCAGCAATGAGAGATTGCAAAACAAAAACTCCACGAAGTACTACTACCTTTGCGCTTCTTTTCAAAGGAATCCTTATTCTCTGCGGATGAATTATAACGAGGGCCTTCCCTGCTTACAATCGGCGAGAAAAGACACCTCGGATCACTCCATTTTTCTCTAAGCCGAGATAAGATCAGTGGATCCGGTCAGGATCCCTAGGGTTCGCAGCAAGAAGCGTCCTGTTGTGACCTATGAATTGTAGCCAAGGCATAGCCGATGTAGGCTGTTGGGTTTTCACCTTTCGGATCAAGTAAAACCATTGTTTTGTTGAATCTACCTTAACCCTGCACTACATCAGGTTTTCGTTTCTCGACAGAGAAATGGTAACCTCTCAGATAATTCTCTCGAACTCCGATAATGTTCTTGATCAGGCGACGATATTGGCCAACTCATGGATTTTTGAGAAGTATGCACATCGCCCACTGGCAGGCAAGGTTCGGAACCTAGAACATCTTCTTGTCAAGAGGTTATATAGCAGTTATAACGATCACAGTTCTTGAAATTTCGTCCACTTTAGTCGAGGATCGCCTCGGTTCCTGACCTACATCTTTGAGAATAAAGATCATCGTCCAGGAAATAATTGCACATTCTCTTCGAGATCAATTAAAACTTCGATGTTTCATTCTCGTGTCTTTTATGTAATTCCAAGAGAGCGTGACACTTGAAGTTCTCACTTGAGATTCCGAGCCAAATTTGACGTTTCGGCTGATGATTAGGCCTCCAGCAAGATACATGTGTTGAATCGGATTGCTTGACGCATCGCCAGTGTTCGGATTGACATGTTTGCTCATGTGATTTCGAGCGTGGTAGTCTACGGAACTTTTAGCACAATCACAGTGCAGTTTCTTGAGCCTGGAGTCAACGAGCTTGACATCGTGCAGCTTTCTCCAATTTCATACTTGCTGTCTAATCGAGCAGCCACATTCATCATAAATCTATAACATTGGCAACGCGGCCAAGACTTGTGTAGTGGGTGAGGGTGGGTCAGCAAGCAGCCATCGCGTAGGTCTTTTGTAGACTTTTTGATGGCCAGAGAACCCGACAAAGAGGGCAGCTTTCGCACCGCTGCTGTCGATATCCACAGTACACCACAATCGTCTGCACGAGCTCAAGGTGGCCCAACAAAACTTGTCGGGGGTTTGGCGCGAGACCAGTGACATCATTGACATCGTTGGAGACCAAGAAGTCGAAGCGCAATGCATTTTGCCACAAGCCAAGCAGCTCCAGGCCGAAATTTCGTCCAGAGAAATATTGTAGTCGCTAAAAAATTTATTCGGAAGCTGCATCTCTGATATCAGAGCGAGGTTTCGATCCTCGGACCTGTGGGTTATGGGCCCACCACGCTTCCGCTGCGCCACTCTGATTGATGCAAATAGAGGAGAGTTATATATATTTATACTTAAAATTATTTGGATGAGGAGAAGCAACTAGTGCTACTCAAGATCGTTATTAGGATGAGTGGAGTCAGTGGACATTGGACTCACTGCCGCAATTTTGTGGTCACCTGCAAAAGTTAAAGAGCGAGGACCGAATTACAGGAATGAATAGAGATGGTCTAACGGTGGTGGATGAAGCAAGAAGCACGAAGAGTCTCCGTATTTCCGACTCATTGTACTCTTCACGGTGAGCAAAGGTTTATGGGTCAGATCCCTGCTGCGACGATCGAGAGAGATATGACCACCATGTTCAAGGCAGGACGTCCGGGGAGCTTTGATGTGGTTACATGGGTTGGCTCAATTTTGTCATCGAAGAGCTGCTCCAAATCGAACCATAAGGGATTCATTCCATTTTCTAACAATAGTGCTGAAAATATGACAATTTCGGTTATCAGCCACATCCAGCCCTGCCAGATAGTGCCCCGATTGCTATTCACTGTGAATGCGTGTTTCAATGAGCATTTAAGGTCTCACTGATGAAAGTCTCTTTTCTGTCGAACGATTTTTAGCCTTCTGCTCAGCAACGTGCACGTCAGTATTCTGTTCAAAGGTAATGAAATTGATTATGCTGAAACATACACTCTGAAGATAATAAAACTCGTTGTGGATACTCGAAAATTTTATACACACTTGGGCTTAAACACAACAGTCCAACATCCGTGGTGTGGATCGTCCAGCCACAAAATGTGTGCTTTAAGAAGCAGAGATTGAAACCAGTGTATAGAAACACGATCCAAATTTATTTACAAATGATATGATCTTTGTTAAGAGTGTTGGTCTGAAATATGCACATATTTTCTCTTCAGTCGCTTCCTCATCCTGCTAAGTGGGTATTATTTCAGAATCCCGCAGAAGCATTTGGTCACGTCTAGTAATCCTTCATCGGTCTTTGTGAACTTAGAGAATACATGTATGCTAAAGGAACAAGAAGAAGGGTTTAGGGTTTAGGGTTTAGGTTTAGAGTCTCGAAATCTCTCCGAATCGAGATGTATGTAGATAAGTTGCTAAAATCAATTCAAAGTTCTTCTGATATATAGTTTACGATCCTCCTAGATTCCACCTCCATAGTCGCCGGAAGTTTAGTCTATATTAGTCTAAGTGAATACGTCAGTTTAGGGCTTCAGTATCTATATAAAAGCTAAGTTGTTTTATTTTAAATGCCATGTCTCGTCTTTTGAGGCGCTTCTAGAACTCATCTTACCTCACCTTATTTATTTGTATTCTAATGCCAAATTTTTGGGGTCCAATTTGATCCATGCATCTTCAGAGCAGTCCATGAATGAGGATCCACAATCAAACATCACATCTCGCTTTTATCAGATATGAAACTCGATCAAAATGACTTCAGAGCTCCAAAATATATGTCACTCCGATCTAGGCTGGGCTAGTATTTCATTTACTCCCAGACCAAAAGCAACGTCTGTTATTGGTTTCAGTCTTACACGCAACTGTTAAAACCGGACGTTTATGTATAGTTGTGAACCCGTTTGAAATTTTGTGGTTGATGGCGTTGCCAACTTCATATCAACTCAGGTTGCAAGGTGTGGGCAATGTAGGCTGTTCATTGTTCATTGTCAGGCATGTGCTAGGCGAGCTGCAAGCTCAACATCTGACTTGAATCGGACCAGGAAGTTGTCTATCGCTTGATTATACAGACTTGTATGGAGGATCAAGCTTTAATGCGTATCCTTACGTCAGTAGCTCGAAGCTCTGCAAGGTAGAAATGCTGTTTCTTCTCAGAAACAACCGAAGTCCTTTGGAAGTCATTGAGATTGCGTGAATTATCAACCTAAAGTTCAAAGGCACCATCGATCCTGAAGGGACGACCAAAGTGCGCAGAGCCATTGGCTAGATTTGAGCTTGGCTCTTAACTTCGAAGGCATTCACTCACCAGATCAACATTCGAAGGTATAGAACTTCCTTCCATCCTCTGCAGAATTTTACGTATTCATCTAACAATTGCAATTGTCCACTCAAGACCTTATTTGGACACTGAAAAGTAAAGGCTGATGGTCAGAATGTATGGACTTCAATTCATCTCAAGTTCGGGGGAAGGCTGTTATTCGAATATCGAGCTGCGAGATGGCAGAAGCTTTGCTGAAAACTGAAAATTAAAAATTCGACTGAAGATCCAAGCAGCAACGTAAAGAACACACGATGAAAGGCCAGCGGATAAGGTTCGCATTCCTTGGCAAATTTCACACTCACATCCGCAGGCAGGCTGAGTGTCAACCGTCTTCCAAAATCAAAGAATCTGGAGTCCTTGGGGATCATAGATCCTTGCTCATACAGACCATAGTGAGCTGCTGACTCTGGGTGTCCGGTAAACTTGTCCCGCATGCCCCAATGAGATGTTGATAGATCACGTGGCAAGGGCAGTGTTCTGTGGCCAGGGCTTCCATGAAGAGATGAGCATGCTTTCCAATACACAAGACTGGTTCGACTACAACAGCTGCTGCAAAGTGTTTCCCGATCTAGCCCGTTTTTTGAAGCTGGTCCTTTTCCGTCTATTCAGTGGCTGGTGATGACATCACGGGCTATGAGCGTAGATCCAAAAAGCTGTGAGAAAGTTTGCGTAAGAGCACGCAAGACTTGCTGACCGTCAGATGCCAGGAGTCCTCTTTGGACATGGAAGACGGCCATGGAGTGCAGGAGGAGACCATCGCTGCTAATTTGCTGGCCATGGTCGAGAAACAGAATTCCATGTCAAAGGAAACAACGGTCTCACTCAATCTCGTTAGTTTTCCTAACTTGGCTTGCACTTGCACTCCGTTACAATTCGATCATATTATTTTCATTGTCACTGATCAAAATCTCAAATCTTTCCACAGAACAATCTATGAATCAGTATCTGATTACATTGTAGAGAATCAAGAGGCATGATGCTTTTACATGAAAAACACATATTTCTGCATAACCCATCCCATAGGTCCTCAAGTGCTTGCATCTCATCACTGCAATCATACATAATTTTCTTGATTTTGAGTTTCTCTCATGTACACCTTTTACAATCACTGATCTACGGCTCTTGGCATGATACTCGATTTAGCTTTCGCGAACTAGACTCGAGACTGGCATCTAGAACATATAGTTGACTAATAATAGTTCTAATGACTCATGACTAGTATTCGTTTGGGGGACAACAGCATATCCAAACGTGTATGCCCTGGACCTTGAGCGACGGACGAAGGCCAGCTCAGACTTCATCCATGGAGATAATTTCGTAGTCTTCACTTGAAATTGATATGAGTTCGCAGTCCTGAGGCTCATAGTACAGATGTTGCCCTGCCGATCATCTCAATCACTGATCAGGAGACTTTTCTGCTGGGAACCGAGACTGACTGTATCGCATGGGATAGACTTGGGAAATGGCTTTTGTGCTCCGCCATCGTTGGGTGCTGCAAGGTGGTGGAGGCGGAAAGCCTGGCGAACGACTCGGACTTGACCACTGTGACTTTGGACATCGCTGCCATTTTCAGCCAGCAGGGATGCTGAAGTTCCTCAAGGCAACTTCGAGCCCAGCAAGCTCTCGCAGGATACGACGTTCCTCCTAACTCCTGGAGCGGAGCGTGGGTTTTGATCCGAGTGCTTCTGAAAACCAGGAAGAGTTTGGCTCGATGTATACCATACCGTGGAGAGCACAGCGAAACTCCGCTTGATTCATATTGTTCCCTTATGCATGCGTAAACCCCACAGCTCATTTTGGCAATACTACTTCAATGATATAGTATTTCAGTCTGGTGGTGAAATTGTGGATCTCAGAATTTGATGCATGGAATTGCAAACCCGATTTTTGAATCTGCAAATCATCGAGCTCAACATCCCATCAATTGAGGGTGCAGGAAGCTTATCACAAAGAAAATATCGAAAGTTATCACCACGGATCTACATAAGACCAAAACAAAGGGAAAAACTATTAAAAAAACGTCAACCTTCTGTCATTATGATAACTTTGTGAGTAAGACTCCAATAAGTTGTGTGAGATGTGTCCATGTGTTTTTAGGAGGGATGGAAATCAGCATGATATGTCCAACAATGCCAAGTGTAACTTTGTGAGTAAGACTCCAATAAGTTGTGTGAGATGTGTCCATGTGTTTTTAAGAGTGATGGAAATCAGCATGATATGTCCAACAATGCCAAGTGAAAAGATCGTTCATTGGCTGAAAACTTCTGAATTACAAATACCAAGAATTTTCCCAATCTTACCAAGCACCAACAGCATCTCGATTATACTAGAGAAGTCAAATTTTATCTTTCAGAAGTGATTCTATCAGGAGTTCAAAACTTTTATGAAGACCTTGAACCATGAACAATTCGCTTATCCATTATAAAGAAGAAATCTATATGCCAGTTCTTGATGGTAAACAATTTATTCCACTATGTATGAGAATCACTATCTCCTCGATGGCCGTGGGTACTTCCACATGACCCTACAACCTCACAAATGTTCAAGAATGATGAGGTAGACACTGGTTGGGTGTGTCACTTGATGATCTGCTGGAGTGTGACGGCATTAGTACTCCTTCATAACTGTGGTGATTGTAACAGTATGAACTCGGTTGATGATGTCGAAAATTTACATCATCCCCAGACTTCATGTATTTTGGTGCTGGCATGCTAGAAGCTTCAGTACACGATCATCAGAACAAGTTCAATGTTTCATGTAAGTACTTCGCTAGAAAGTCAGATAAGCCAGTCAAAGGCTCTTGCGTTATTCTTGTTTCTCAACAGCTTTCAGAAGGCTTGACCATCTTCCATCAAAAAATATTTGTGCAACAAGAGTACTTCTATTAAAGGCAAGCTTTGCAGATAGGAATTTGCTCTTATGTTGGTGGGCATAAATCGTGCACTATCCGCTGTAAGCATTTGAAATTACAGCTGATCGTATCGTAGGATCTTCCGTAAGGCACTAATGTGCTCTAATCAGATCCTATGACGGAGTGGACACGATTAGTATTAGTGATCCGACCAACAGTGGATTTTGTTAATTTGATACAGGAGGGGAAACCCTTAGTATTAGTGATCCGACCAGCAGTGGATTTTGTTAATTTGATACAGGAGGGGAAACCCTTAGTATTAGTGATCCGACCAGCAGTGGATTTTGTTAATTTGACACAGAAGGGGAAACCCGGAACGTTGGTGCGTTGTCATTCTGATTTGCGTATAGTCGAGATTTTATTTATAGAGTCCTGATGACATGCATTGACTTTCAGCCTTCAAGCTTTGGACATCAATATCGATCCATAAATGTTGGACAATCTCTCAGAGCAAGAGTGTCATGATGCCAGATGGAAGGCCGAAAGAAAGGAACAGCAATTCTTCCTATTTGTGACCATCATATCAAACTTCTGGAAAATATGGATCATGTCTTCCTGCTTTAAGCTTGCAACTCTTTCTTAGTTCAGCCAATAACTTAAATGAAAACATGGTTCTTGTAATGTTTAGGGAGCGAACTTCTTATACATCCATGGCACTTGATTCGGTGGTTATTGGTACCTTGCCTGACTTGAACTTTAGTATGAAGAAAAAAACTCAATACAAATCAGAAGCAAAAAGTAATTACAAGAATATCTGCTCTGCTTTCTACTTTCTATCACAGGTCATAATCATCACCGCTTTTTACAATTTATCTTCTGACTTATTCCATCTAAACATGCACCATCGAGCAGCTGCCCACCCTGATTTCTTGTGCACAACTTACAAGCCAGGGTTGCTTGTGTTTATATTATAGATGAAATTCGTGAAGGTTCTTCGACATTCTTTAGCCGCATTTTATCTACTAATTCTAAAATTATATACGAAATGCAGGACACCAGCGCAATCTGTAAAGATAACGAACGAAATAACACCTCTACTTGAATCATCAAAATTGGCCTTGCGGGTCTCGTCGAGAGCCGTCTTTCCATAAGAAGCCTTGTTAGATACCAAACTCCAAGATAAGAGATAATTATGAATAACAGACATTTCGTAATCTGGAACTGGAATACGTGACTGCGTCATTATCTACAAGACATTTCGTAATCTGGAACTGGAATACGTGACTGCGTCATTATCTACAAAACATGAATCATAAACTGTAAGACTGTAATATAATTGAGGGAAATAAATGAAAGAATGCAAGCGGCCATCCAACTTGAGCTGAGAATTGAGTAACAATCAATGTTTGTACGTACTTGAAGGAAGCCAGCACAATCTCGTTCCTGCGTCTAGAATAGTTCGATCCAACAATCTGGAGGCCATGTCTGGAAGAGACGTGATAAACAGGATTGCAACCTCACAGCAATGGTGACACTCATGTTACAAGTCTACCTGTCAAAGTGAATGTGCCATACCAGGTTCCAGGACCACTTGTAGATGTTGGGATATTATAATATCTCTCCTGGGCATTAAAAACACTAATGATGGTCCAACTATTCTCTCAATTGTTACCATTTGTCTGATCAGTTCTCTCGCTGGCTGTGTCTTCGTGCTCTCGTCATGTAATAGTTATGATCACGTAGTTGGAGTTTCTATTTGCAAGCAGGCAGGGTTTGACCATAGCTACCAAGTTTGAAACTGTTTTGACGAGTTAAAGAATACCATATTTGGCAGGAATATGCCGAATACAAGTTGGAGTACAAATACAGCGTGCTTCTGCATGTGTGATTTCGATCTTAGAATGGGACAATTATCTTATCAAGCTTGTCTTAGGCCGGACGAGAGTAGAGTAGTGTGATAAAAACCTCAACATTGCTAGGTAGGAAATTGTCGTTGCTCAAGGATCTTAAAGGGTTGAAGAGTAAAAGGGGTAAAATATGATCTTAGTTAAAATGATTTAGAAGGTAGAATATGTGTATAAAGGGTTGAAGAGTAAAAGGGGTAAATTTGATCTTAGTTAAAATGATTTAGAAGGTAGAATATGTGTATTTTAAATCAGTTTTAATATGTAGATAAAGACATGCTTTAGTCTTAAAAAAGCTAGATTTGTTGGAGGATTTGTGACTGGTTTTATGTAGGTCAGTGAAGGTGTGATTGTTGCTGTTAATGTGATAGCCTCGTGTGCTGAAATTTGAACCGGGGAGAAAAAAGTATTCTTACATGAATTCCATCTCGGTGCTCATGTATTTGCGGATGAAATGGGTGTCACCATGATGTGAAATGAATATGAGATTTAGATGAGCTAAGAAGTCGGTGGGATAAATATGCGTCATGATCAAGAGATTAACCGGGAAGATTTTTTGGAGCAGTTAGAAGTTGTTCTTTTGGAGCTTGGCCAAACTTTGAATGAACGAGATGATGCAGCCAAATCCAGCAGAAGGTGAAGTCCTCATGTGTTGATGATTAAGGAGCTATATCTTAAAAGGAGCAATAACCTGAAGGACTTCAATCTATAAGTCCTGAAACAAAGATATGAAGGTCAAGGCTGAAAATCAAAGCTTCTTAGATGGGTGAAGAACCAATTTTGTCCTGTTTAATCCAACCAATAAGATAAATAGCATATCGCTACATGTGATTATGGAATTAATGAGCTGAGATCAACCTATGTTTGGGAACGGAACCCTCACAAGGATGGATACACGGACTTGATCCATGTGATGCATCGTTATGATCAAAGGTTAAAACTATTTATAAGATAGCATCAAGGCACGAGAAAGCAGATGAAAACCTGGAGCAACAAACTTCCTTGGTCAAGGAGTGAAAATAGATGGCGGAGCAAGCTTAAGGAGAAGTATATTGGATCAAGTTTTGCTGAAGTCAAATCTGCAATATAAAAATTTTAAGAAGAGACATAAAGGGATGTATAAATGCATGAGAATGTTAGTAAGCAATGTAGAAAACCAGAATATATATATGAAAGCAGATTAAACTTTATATGTTACAAAAGTTTGCTGTCAAACCGAAAATGTAATCAGGATGTAAGTAGTCTGATAAAGTTTTTGTCTCTGGTTAGACTATAACAACTGCTTGTCAAATTTACCATAGAAGTGACTACAAGAATTGGTGTGATTAGTAGAACTGCGTTGTGCTTGACTTCTCGATTTCATATTGTAAGTGGTATTGATACACTTCTTCACCAGTACATGATCGAATTCAAACATATTCATTTCATATGTGATTTGGATTTTTTGGTTAATAGTTATGTGATCTGCCGAGCTGAGCTCTAGGTGTGACATTTCCGACGGCCCTTCGTCCTCCAGAGTTTAGCAAAAAATAAAAAAATTCTCAATTTTATCCCCCCAATGCGCTTTATAAGTTAGGAAGAATATTTAAATTTACTGAAATCGGCATTTCTTTCTAAACTTTTGTCTTTATCTAGAGTTCTCGTGATGAATTGTAATTCAATAAACATAAATGACTATTTTATGTTGTTTCAAGACTATTTTTCTATATACGTTCCTATACGTATATGCAGAAAATTCCTTTCATAAGAGTAAACTATTAGTAAACAAGATGCTAACCACAATATACTGAATTGAGCTACGTGATGCTTTCTTGCTATATACAATAGAATATGGGGCATTTTGTACTACTTTACTCATGGAATTGTATTGTATTTTTTACAAAGTTTACTCTAGAAACCAAGATAGACGTTACTTCATATGAGTCAAAACTATCTTGACCCATGTGGTCTTTATAGATGTAGGATCTGATCCACTTGGAGAAGACTTCACTCGACTTGAGTTGGCAACGATGGCAAATCCACACCAACTCAGACCAAACCTTATCCACAACTAGATGAAGACGATTCTCGCTACTGGATTGTATACTAGAGGCAAAACATGTCTGGTGTAGGTTATATAGATTCCTGAATCATAAGATTTTCAAAGTTTCTAGGTTCACGAGCATCAGACAGCTGACGGGTCTCGACTTTCAGTACCTAACTCGTTAGCAGATTCTGATGACTGAAACTCCGTTTATATAAACAAGAAAGAAATTGTGGAGCCTTAGATGGCGCCATGAGTGTACTTTCTTTTTAGTCTTCGACCCTGAACCTGCATAAACACCTGATATAGCTGCACAATTTCTATCTTTTTGTACGACTGTCTTGTATGATGTATGTTCAGGTTGTGCGTGGAAGTCCAAGGGGCCCAAAGGTATAGGTAGTAGATCAGAAAAGATTAGCAAATCTCGAGGCATAAACTATGAGTATGGCGAACTGAGGCACATGCGTATGGTGTGGTAAATGTGGGTGGTTGACTCCGGAAACCCAACGAAGTGTGAAAGACACAAAGTGGCAAATTGACTGACTGGAGAGATTGAGCCCATGCATTCGATATGACTCACTGCTCAGACGGTGGGAAAAAATGCGACGAGTTTTGAGTATAATCTGTTGTGAATCTCAAAGCATGTGTGTCGTATCCCTCGTTAGAAACTAATTTAGTGTTCTGAACGAGACTACATGTGAGCTGTTTATGTGATCAAACAACCTGACCGAAGAATGCGCACCGAGTTTTCCGCTCACGTTCTTCGCAGCAGGTTCGTGAGTCTGAGGTATTAGAAGTCCTGACTACGGTATCTCAAATCGAGGACAAAACTGGGCTTAGCTTGCTGATGATTATTTCCTATAACAGTCTCACACTCGACAACGACGACAGGACCACCCCCGACTCACTATATGGTCTGAAAAAGTGGCAGTCTTGCGACCAAATTAAGCCACATTATTGACGATTGCTGAAGAGGTGATAAAATGGTGCAGACGCAAGATTTTGAAGTTTCGACTGTGCTGAAAATCAGAGCCTGATTCGAGTCCACCGTAGAGAACTCTCGGAAACCATCAGGCTTGAAAGTAAGGGTCTGAGTAAGTACATAGTCCATCTGGAGATGAAAAAGCTCTCGGTCGAAAATCCTGCCCTCTAATCAAAACCATTCCAGAGTCACTCTCCATCTCCCTTATCTCCTGTGCACTATGCTCTCCACCTTATTCGTCACTGACACATCGGAGGGACAAAAGGCTCTTCTCACTCACACGCTAACTTGAACATCTCCAATTGTACACATCTCCTCTCTCTCCCTCCTCTCCCTCTCTCGCCCAAGAGCAAGGACTCGGACGAGACATCGTTAACGGCATCTGATAACCAAAAGTCGAGCTGATGAAAGAATGCGATATACGTACATACATTTACAGCAGACTGGGTCCGTTCGATCCTTCCGACTCTCGACAACGTACCGTCCCATGCACCTCGAGATTCCTCGTCACCGCAAAATTAAAGACCAAACCTCGAATCCAATGTTCAGTTGTACAGCGCGCGGTGATATAATGGGGCGATGGCAGACGAGCGCAGTTCTGTTCTGGGGGTGCCCTGCGTGGCATCTCAGGACGTTGATATATCAATCCCCGTATATAATTCGAGTGTTCTGATCGGGAGGTCGATCGACATCGTCGTGAATTTGCAGGTCAGGTCAGGGCGATCTTCTGCCGATGGAAGCTCTGGGCGGAGAAGTGCTCTCGCGGTTGATTCTCGGGAGAACGTGGTCCGGAGATCGAGACGGCGACGGGGAGCTCGAGGCGGGGCCGGGGCCGGGCTGGACGAGCAGGCGGTCGCGGTTGGACGGGTCGAGGATGCGGGAGCTCGCCTGCCGGGGCACGACCTCGGGGTCGGTCTCGGGCACGAGCTGGAACCCGGCGGTGGTGACAGCGAACCCGACGCCGTGCCGGCCCGGGGGCGCGAAGGCGAAGAAGACGCCGACGATGAGCGCGACGAGGATGGGCGCGGTCTTGATGACGGTGCCCGGGAGGTCGGGGTAGTAGCAGGTGGTGATTGGTGCGGCGAGCAGCGAGAGCGTGCCGAAGGCGACCACGTCCAGAATGCCATTGACGACGTCGGAGACGTTCACCTTGTACATCGTGTCGTCGGTTCCGGTGAAGTAGGAGTCGTCGCGGCGCAGGTCGCCCGGAATGTTGGATCTGGCAAACTGCGGATTGTAGAGCCCTTTCGTCGTGACGATGCCGTAGTACACCTTGCCGCTCTCGGTCGTCACGCTGTCGATGAAGTTGAGCACGAAGACGAGCCCGACGAATGTGCCCAGCAGCATGCCCGTCATGATCTTCTCGGTCATCCCGCACATTCCGTTGTTGGTGAACAGCGGCGCCAGCGTCGAGAATGTCAGAAACGTCCCCGTCGGCAGCAGGTTGGCCAGATTCGTGGCCATGTCGCCCGTGCTGGGGTTCGGCGCTGCCTGCGACGACATGCAGCTCTGCTCTGCTCTGCCCTGCTCTTCCGATCTTCTGCACCAAGTGTTTTCGATCGAGGCTCGGAGAGAACGAGCTGCTGTCCTCTTCCCGCAATCTATACTCCCTTGGCCCTCGATCGTCTCGTGGCTCACGCTGGCTCTTCCGGGCTCATGATCGGTCGGTCATGCGGCTGCACTGCACTGGTCCCTCGGTCCTAAGAGTCACAGGATTTGGGCTATCTCAAAATCCGCGCGTGGGTTGCTGGATTCTCCGATCTGATCAAAGTAGGTGATCCAATCCAGCCTACGCAGCCGTCGTCTTTGTGACGATGTCGCCGAGATACGCTCACGGGTGCTGGTAAAATTCATGAATTCGCTCTGCCCTCGACGCTTCGATGTGCCTAGAAATCCTGAGTAGCTGCTCTAATGGAGGAAATGATCACGGAGTGATCAGCGCCTCCCCTTCTGGAGACAACGATGAGTGTAATCGGTAGCTTGCTCCTTGGACATGTACGACCTCGCTCGAAGCTCAAGTTTCAGGGCTGGAAGAATACACTTCATATACAAAACCCCCGATGCGTGATCCACTGGAAGCGTGCCGGGGCTTAAGGGCCTCCTCATCATGTGCTCAACAAGGCTGAATAATTCACCTGCAGGTCAGGTGGGTCAGTTTCTTCACGTGTATGGATCTGCACCCGGTTGCCTTGCATTTGGATCATCGGCCCCTTCTGCAGGCGGCGGCGGCAGACAATCAGGATCGATATCGAAAACCATCCACTTGCTACCGAATTCACGGAGTTCGGAATTTATTGTACTGAACATCTTTGAAGACTAAAGCCATCAAAGGTGTTCAGCTAAATCATAAACTTTAATCCTCGGCTGGCTGCTGCCACTCGCAATCAGTAGCTCCAGCAGACGGAGCAGGAATTTCACCTTTCTAAGAGAAACTCGACTGTGAGTGTGCAGTGAGTATCATGTGATGATCAGATCGGCAGCTAGAATGAGAATAGTGAGCAAGTAAGCAAGTGCTTGGGTCTGGAGGATCTTGGAATCACGGTATTATCTGAGCGTAGAACGCTCATCGTGGATGAGGTGAACATCGATGTCAACGCTGTCATTTGTGTCATTCCGTTTCTTCTGTCTGTCGTCATGGATGCACCTCAATCCCAGGCCTCTATCTGTCAGTTCGGATCTCACGGCTGCTGGATCGACCCGGTCTCTCTGAAGCCGAATCCACTCCTTCGCTCTGAGAAGACGACATTTTATATTATGTTTGTACGTCATTCACTCACTCTTGATCCAAAATCCCATGTCGACAGCAAGCTTGTAGGGGTTACACGTCCTTACTTTAGTCAATTTTTTGGGGTGATTATATTGTTACTTTTTATGCAGAGCACGTGAATGCAGGTTTTACAAATTTCAAAGTCCCCTCGAGTGATCATTTTGTTTTCACGAACTTCATCGAACGAAGTGATGCATGAGATGATCACAGAGCATCTCAAGCAGGGTCTCTATTACGCACAAGGCAAGCGCCAGAGCACTGGAGAGAATATCAGAGATGTCCTAAGTAGCTTTCTTGCAGGTGCTTTTGGGAGGGATAGCAAGTCGTAAAGCGTTGCTGGTCTGTGCTGAGAATAGGAACCCGAACAACGTCACGTGAGGTGCTACGTGAGAGCTTATAGTGGAGATCGATACAATCCGTAGTTCTGAAAGCGACGTGTGCTGAGCATCGCTTTCACGAGCAATGGCAAGACAGTTTCCCCTCGAGAGATTTGACACGGCCAGTGGGCCAGCATGCATGCATGCTGGCCTTGGTAAGCTCTGCGAGCGACTACTCAAAAGTTTCCAATTGTGGTAGCCGTTAAGAACACTAAGAGGTCCAGACATCGGATCTGCACGTGCATAGTGAATCTACTGACTGCCTGCCTGTGAGACCAGGAGCTAAGCCACTTCTTTATAAAGTATACTGCATTGGCAATAACAGCAGCCACCAAGATCCGGTTGAAAACTACCAACAGTTAGTCCTGAATACAAGGAGTGACTTGCTTGCAGAATTTATGTGCAGAATTATATTTCAGTAGTTACTGGACTAGTCCCATGTCACCCTTTTGGTTTCTCCCCAATCCTTTTTATTAATTATTAATTTGTTGCTGTACTTCATCATGGGATCGAGCATGATGGTCCCATCTTAAGACATAATGGCTCTGGACCCTATGGATCGTGGAAGACCTCTGGATCTCCCTGGCAGCTTAGAGCAATCAGATAATTTGCCCCACATGATGCCGTATACAGGGCACTAGCTCACTACAGCAGTAGTTCCAGGACGTCTTTCTTGTGCTGGCACGTGAAGCCACAATCGGCCAACAAGTTCTAGTAGGACTGTGATCGTTGTCATCACAAACTGCTAAGCCTTAAACATCTCCTGAGAAAAATTGTTTCTTCATGTTTCGATGAATTAGAGTGAACTTAATTAAGCCTGGAAACATACGCCCTGCTCTTTTTGGAAGCAGCCGGGTCCCGAAGGAATTGTTTATTCATCGTGGAGGATACTGCACAAGTGGTCGTTGTTGCTAGAAGGTTCCCATAGAGACTTCTCAGCCACTAGAATTTTCCGCCTTGACTATCTCCCTGCTTGCGTAAACTCGTGTTCTTCAGTCATACATGCACTGGCAGCGTAGCTGGGTCTTGTGAATGACTTGAAACGTCGGCTGCTTGTACTCCGTCAAATTCGAGGCAGCCATGCGGAGGAAATGCTGAAATCGCAGCACGTGAACTACCATGCACGCAAGACCCGGAACAAAATCTTTCAGTTCCCTTCTCACGCGCCTTATTGATGTAGACTGATAACGGAGAGCCTCGATTGATCAATCGATTCAATTTGATATCTATCGTGCCACCCTCAGGTTTCCAATACGAGACCATGGTGGGATCCACCTTGTCAGGATCATAAACCATTTGCTTCGATATTTAAATTGCATGGGTCGCGTGTAGAGCAGACCTTCTTCACCAATTTAATCCCAGTGTAGATCGAGAGTGCCATGTACAGCATTAGCAAACTGGTGAGACGGTCGTGGGAGTTGAAGACTACTTGTCCAACTTCCGCAGAAAGACCACGGGCACAGACTGGATTAGGAACTGTCACCTGACTTCACCGCTTGTATTTGGTCCAACTTTCACGCTTGAGTGCATGATGTTAGCCAGCAATACTCGCTTTTGAGCTTATCAACACCCTGCTTAGTGTGCAGCTCTTGAAGCAAAGTCTTGTTCCCGAAGAATTATGAGGAGAATCTGTTTCTTCTCCGGATAGTGTTTGGTACTCGAGTTTGAGACTACAGATCAAATTTCCATTTTTCCCAGTAAAGCACTTACAGTAGTAACAGGGGTTTTTCTCTATGGTGTGTTCGGTCAATGGAGTAAGTCTTTTCTAAGATCCTTGTAACCTTGTGATCCACATCACTGAGGCTGCTAGCTGATGGGATATAGTTAAGCAGGAGCTGTACACTTACTGCAGTCATTCAACTGAAAAATGCGGAATCCAATGTCACAATCGTCGATGACAAAAGATGGTGCATTGCACTTAACAGAATATATGATACGTGATCCGATTACAAGGAATTGGACAAGATCAGACGGGTTTAGTACCAGTTTCAGTTGCACATATTTTGTTACGAATCACACAATGTACCTACCTACTGTGACCAACTGAGACCGTGCAATAGGCTAGGCTACACAAGGTCAATGGGTTGAGACCAACAAGATTTAGAGAGGGTTAATACGAAGCTAACTTACGAGAGAAGATATCTGCTCGAAAACTATGTGAGTCAATGAAATATAGAGTCAGAGCAGAACTTTGAGGTTACTTGGAATATCAGGATATGGTCTTGCTCCGGTTGCCAATCTCCAAATGCTGGAAACTACTAGAGTTAGACCTCCCTGATTACGTCATCGACGGATTGTAATCATTTGAATCCGCATACTAGCAAGTAGTTGCCTATTGTACCAGTTTGGGTCGAGTCACTTGCTTGCATGCCCCTGGCAATGACTACTAGAACTTGAACATATCCTTTTCAAGATTTGATTCATATCGAGTCCTGCTGCCAATTTGGTTTACCGTGCAAGCCGGGTAAGCAGTGGAAAAAGTCAGAGCATAGAATGCGGATAGGACTCGTAAATCAAAGGGTCTGTCGACTTAATTCGGGGTCCGTCTTCCTTGGAATTTACCTTTTGAGTCCGAGTCTTCGGATAATAAATTTGGAAGTCTCTCCAAATGTGAAGCGACGTGACTCATTTCCAACTAGTCATCTCTATTGATAGGATCGTGATACTTCACGGCAATGCGTACCTCCCATTGATGGAAATGAGATCACTGCGGAATTTCTAGTGCAGACTTTTGCCTTCTCAGACTGGCAGAGTTTAATTGGAATAGCTTCCGAGGACGACCGGTGACTTTGATGATGTACGATCCCGGAACATGGAATCTTCATGTGCAGAGACTCTTGTTTGTAACAAAGATAGAGATTTGAGGTTCTATCTCACGCACACCTTCAGCAGTATTATACGTATTTGGCATCGGACATGCGATACAGTAAAGAGGGGATCCCTGCCCAATCAACCCTGACCAATCTCAAGCTGCAATGTTTCATGCCGCTACTGGACAGTGACATTCCATTCGAGCTACTTTACGTCTCAGGAACTTTTAGGTCTTTGGGGAAGATAAACCATTATGACACATTACTATTAGTGAAGCAGACAAAAGTCCGGATGTGCTTAAATTGCGCTTTTTTCCTCGAGAAAAATCTCGATTCACGAGATGTTTTCTTTTCGATGCAAAGTTGGCGACGACTTGATGTCGGCTTTGATCTCGTACGTGTATCGCCATTCACCAATATTTGCGTATCCCAGTACGTACGCCAGGGCGTATGGAGATCCCGCAGCACGTCATGACACCGACACAAAACTTTGCAGCCAGTTCACACTTCGCTCGGATTCCCCGACGACCACCCGACTGCCCACCCCATTCCTTCGTCTTTCCTTCCTGGACGCGCGCCGCGCTTTTCACCTTTTGCTCCTCCCGTTCGGTGTAGCCAGGGAACAATTTCTGTTTTATGTGATGGAACAAGCTGCTGGATGAGAGCACTAGTGCGAGCATTCGAAGTCAATTCATTGCGTGTATGTAATCTCAGAGCATTGAATAATTGTAATTTGGTATATTGACAAAGTTGCCTCCAATCGTCCACTAATAACCTTCGTGCATACATAGATATTACAGGATAAATACATATTCTAAGAGCCGATTTGCAGTTCCCGTCCTTCACACAAGAACTATTGTGCAGTATGAAAGCCTATTAGAAGACCCGGACTTCATGAGTCCTAGTTCCTCTATCTACTTTCTGCACTATCGAATGCTCAACTTAAATTTTCAGGTCTCGTGAGCACTAACTCATACTCTATACCCTTGGTATTAGATCTGTAAATTGCATTTTTAATCCTGACGGAATTTCATTAGGCCGAATTGCACAAACGACATTAATTGATATATTTGTCCCAACATATGGATATCCTCTTACTATCTCAACTGCCACATAGTCAGATGACATTGTGTACACTTTTGTTGGCAGATTAAAAGAATCTTTTGCTTAGAAGAATTGAGGTTAGCAACGTAGTTGGTTTCCATGTGATCTTATTTGAATTATAATGAATACTCTTTAGAGGGATTTGACCTCAACAAATCTGCTAATATTCCTAATGAATGGAGAGGAGACTGTTAGTAACATATGGCAGGTTTTAGAGAGTAGACAATACC